TCCCAAGGAATGGCTGGTAGATTTGAACTGTTCATCTTGAGGTTAGCATCCTGACTTTTAACTTTTAACTATACTACCAGAATATGTGTTTAGCAAAACAAAGAGAAGAACTAACAAAACAGAAGGACAGGCATCTTGTACTCCTTTGTCTCCCAGAGTCATATCCTCTATCACTGTTGCTCTTGAGCAATGTAAGGAAAGAACTGAGAAATAGATTGCAAACCACCAAAAACAAACAAGCAAAAAACCAAACCTACCACCAAGGAGTCAATTTTGACTTTTAGTACACTGTAGGACCTAGTAAAGCTGCCCCATGGGATTTCCAATATTGTAAAGTTTTAAACAAATAGACTGTTACATTTTTATCCATGTTTGGTAGGTTCAGTACTTTGGTTAGCAGCCTTGCACTTAATCAATGACATCTGCTTATACCTTGATAACTACACTTTCTTGTTATCCCAGAGACTCAGAGGCTTACCCAAATTTGTGGCTGGTGTGGTGAGTACATACTATTTTGATAAAGTGTTTCTGATAAACTCCTTGAAATTTGGTGATTTTAGTAAGTTAAGTGTAATTTGTTAAGAGCAGTGTACTGAATGAGAAATTGATTTTTTTCTTACTGTTATACTTTCAGAAAAAATACTTCTTGAGTTTGAAAAACCATTTTTAGTCATCATTCTTAAATTTAATTAAGCAAACATGTAGTCAGCATCTATACATGTACTGAGAGACATGGTCTTGAGCTCATTCACGATTCTTAGTCTATTTAGAGAGCAACTAACTATCTTCAGGAAATTTCTACATGAAATAAATTCTAAATAGCACAAACAGTTATGAGGAGGAATTAGTAAATCTACCTAAGAAGTAATCATGGGAGGATTCCTGGAGAAGATGGGAGTCTATTCATTCCAATAGTCAGTAAACTGAGGTTACCAGAAACCTACATGCATTAGCATAGACTGCAATTTGAAGGGCAGGTGCAGGTGTCAAGCTCTTAGATTCCATCACTATAAAATTGGCTACAGATCTAGAAAAAGAAATAAAACAGGAAATTTTAGGGAGGATTCTTGGGGAGGTAACATTTGAATGATCTTTCAAAGAAATCTAGTTTTGAACAGGCAGAGAAAGGCAGGAAGGATACTGCTAGTTAGAGAAAGTGATATGTATGGAGTAAAACACTTTCCATGCTTGGATCACAGAGGTATGTTCACTAAATGCAAAAGGTTTGTGGCAGGAGATGAACCTGGGTAGGTAATATCTTGAAGGGCTGACTAGAGTGTTTGCACTTGTGTTGTTGTTAAAGTGCCATCGAGTCGATTTGTACTCATAGCGACCCAGTGTAGGGTTTCCAAGGTGCAGCTGCTGAGTTTGAACCACCAACCCTGTGATGCAAACCAACCTTGAGGTCCAGTGCTTTATCCCACAATGTCACACCAGGACTCCCTTGCACTTGTAGAAGACATAATTGACTAACCAAACAAATGAGTCTCCAGATTTCTCACTGCAGAGCTATGAATATGAACTCCTCCACTCATCGATTGTATCACCTTTGGAAAATTCTATGACTAAGCCAAGGTGGTAGTGGGCATTATGTGTCATGGAGTCAGTTCTGACTCATAGCAACCCATTATAGGGTTTCTGAGGTTGTACATCTTCATGGGAGCAGAAAACCTCATCTTTCTCCCATGGAATCGCTGGTAGCTTCACACTACTAAACCTTGAGGTTAGCAGCCTGATTCATAAACTTTATGCTACCAGAGCGCCTTAAGCCACAGTGAGAACTACATATATGGGCATAATAATATTATTTATCTCTTGGGGTAGCTAACAGGATATATGAAACTAGATAGCTGAAACATGCAATACAGCTAACAAGTTATTATTATTACCTAACCTATAAGCAAAGGAGATTCAAAAGATGTCTCTCAAGAAGGGAAATAGCATGATCAGAGATTTGACATATCTAACTTGAAAAACTGCAGGTGAAAGTTATGACTGGGAGAGGGAGAGACTAGAATTGCAAAGTCCAAATTAGTAAAAGAATAGAATCCAGAAAATTTTCTATTTTTTTCCTTGTTGTAATTGTTAAGTATCATTGAGTCAGTTCTTGGTTTTTTTGAGGAGCAGCTTCTAGATTTGAATCACCAACCTTGCAGTTCAAACCAAACTTGTGGTCCAGTGCTTATCTTACATTGCCCCATGAGGACTCCTTGTCCACATTTTTCTGTTGGATTAAAAAAAGAAAATGTGGACCAGAGAGAATGAGTCAATAGAAATAAAGGGAGGGCCTGATAGATGTGTAAAAGTGTCATAGGACTTAAACTAGAGTAGGGAAATTTGAGATAGAGGGGATATCACATGCAAAGTCAGCTGTATGAAGGCTCATGATATGCTTGGCCCAAAAAAAAGGGATACTGTTGTCTGAGCCAGGGATGCTCACTCAGGAATGATATCTTGAGATTAATTTGTGAAGAGAATTGAATCCCATATTAAGGTTTGGAGATTTCCCCCTATAAGCAGTATATAGCTATCTACTTTTAAAAATATTATTATTATTGTTGTTGTTGTTAAGTGCATTGAGTTAGTTCCAACTCATAGTGATCCCATATAGCGTTTCCGAGGAGTGACCCGAGGAGTGACTGGTGGGTTTGAACCACCAACCTTGCAGTTCAAACTGACTTTTTGGTCCAGTGCCTCATCCTGCAGCACCACATCAGGACTCCAAAATGTTATCAGTGAGTTGATATATCCAGTGTTTAGAAGTCAAATATGTTGTAATAGTGTGGAATAGACATGGGAGAAGCTTGAGACTAATAGACAGCCACAAAGCAGTATATTCACCCTGCAGGAGAGATTCAGGACAATGGTAGAGGGTATACTAAAAAAGACAGAGATGTCAGCAAACAGCTGTTTGGAATTATTATTGAGTGTAACAGGTGAAGACAATAAAAAATGGAGTCTTGCGACAGCTCTTACTGATCACTGTAACTAATTCCAATAGAAAATGCTAAAGCAAATTTCCATATTTCCGAAAATATGGCCATTTCTGAAATCCTTGATTTCAGTATTTGGAAGACATTCTGTCAGTGGAGATGTATCTGAAGAATCTGAAGATTCTTCTTTAGTATCCACTGATATTCCAAATCACAGTGATCCTGGATAGGATTTCTAAGGCTATAAATATTTAGGAAGCAGAAAGCCTCATCATTCTCCTGTGGGGTATGTGGTGTGTTTGAACTACTGACCTTGCAGTTAGCAGCTCAGTGCTTGGATAATTGCATGCTAAGCTGAACCAAAAAGAATGGAAAACATTTTCCTTTTGAGGTAATTGCCCTGGGAAACATTGATAGGGAAGTGAGTTTGCATGGAGAACTATGAGAAGCCAACCATATGGAGTCTGATGTATGATAGAGTGGGAAGATGAGTTTCCCACTTTAGAGATTTTGTATTACCTTCTCCCTGAACTTGTAATGCTTCCCTTCTGATGTTTCCATGTTCTTTGCTAATTCTCTCCAGGCTCCATTTAAGTATGTCACCTCTTCAGAGAAAGATTTCCTGGCTCTACAAAACAGTAATTGTTGTTAGGTGCTATTTAGTTGGTTCCTCCTCATAGAGACCCATTGTTCAACAGAATTAAACATGACCTGGTCCTATGCCATTCTCAAGATCATTGCTATATTTGAGTCCACCTCATTTGGCTGACCCTCCACTTTACCAATCATGCTGTCCTTCTCCAGGGACTGGTCCCTCCTGATAACCTGTCCAAAGTATGAGATATTAAGTCTCTTTTTCCTGTCTTCTGAAGAGCATTCTAACCACACTTCTTGAAAGACAGATTTGTTTGCTCTAGAGTGAGTACCCTGAATTCAGATTTTTAGCCTACTAAACTGTGATAAAATAAATATATATTTGTCGAAGCTATCCACTTTTTATATTTCTGTTATAGCAAAACTAGATACATAAGACATATCAACTAGAAAATGTTCAAAGATTCTGCTCAACAATGAGAAGTTGGTCAGGATATGCATCTCCAAAATAATCTGACTGCAAGATAGTCTGTAATATTGTATTGTTGTTGTTGTTGTTAAGTGCTGTTTAGCTGGTCCAACTCATAGCAACCCTGTATAAGGTTACTGAGGAGGGCCTGGTGAATTTGACCTGTCGACCTTGTGGTTCAAATCAGTTCAAACTGATCCCACAGTCCAATGCACTGTATCACAGTGCCATTGTTAGGCATTTGGGAAAGAACATCAGTAAGAAATTGTTAAGGACTTAAAAATTATTCATATGTCTCATGAAACACTATCTTAAGAACTATTGATATTGTATGTGGCAAAATGCAGTTATTACCATGTATAGGACACTGGCATAAGATACTAGTTAAATTAATTTATCTGATTTATTCATTTACTTAATAATCCTCTTATAGTCACCTTTGGAGGTAGACGATAGCATGCAACATAGAAGAGAGGATTTAAGTATCAGTGTTCTTTCGAAAATACTTAGTCATTCTCTCTATAAAGTTTTAAATGTTATATTGATTTTATTTATTCAATAAACACTCCTAATTGCTGGGATATCATTATATGGCACAAAAACATTTGAAAGATGTGTGACTTCTCAAAGGCTTTTATGTAGCGACACAAGCACACTGTTCATATTGTTCCCCTTTTGTGCAGATTCTGACTGTGAAGGAAAGAAAGGAGTGTTTCAGTGAATGACTTCCAAGAAGATATTTGGGTTCACTCTATGCATTTATATAATTCTCCTACTAAGATCTTTCTTTTCTTCACTCAAACACCTGAACTTGACATTAGTCAGATGCACCTAGATCCTTTAATTGATGCTCTCACAATTAAGAGTTGTCTTGCCCTGGTCTGCGGACCCTTGATTCAGGCCAGTTGATGTTAGTGCAGAAGGTGCAGTTTTTAAGTATCTCAATGTCTTGATCTCAAGCACATTTTCACTTTGTGGAGCAAGTTGCTGAGCCCAGAAGGAGGATGGACAATCATACAGCAGTAACCACATTCCTTCTGTGGGGATTTTCCAGTTTCCCAGACCTGCAAGTTCTCCTCTTTGTGGTGATTTTCTTCTCCCATTTGACCATTCTAGCTGCAAATGTGTCCATAATGGTGGCCATTAGGCTCAGTCACAACCTTCATACTCCCATGTACTTTTTCCTCTGTGGTCTGTCCTTATCAGAAACGTGTGCCACGATAGTAATCATTCCTCGCATGTTAGTGGACTTGCTATCTGACAGTAAAACCATTTCTCTTCCTGAATGTGCTACACAGATGTTTTTCTTTTTTGGCTTGGCAGCCAACAACTGCTTCATCATGGCTGCCATGTCCTATGACCGCTATACTGCCATCCACAGCCCACTGAACTATCACATGCTGATAACCACCAGCATCTGCTGTCAGCTTATGATGGCCTCTTTTGTGGTTGGGTTCTTGATTTCTTTAGCTATTGTTATCACTGTATTCAATTTGCCATTTTGTGACACCAAAATCATCCAACACTTCTTCTGTGACATCTCTCCCTTGGTCTGCCTTGCTTGTGGTTATACATTTATTCATGAAATGGTTATTTTTGTGCTCTCTGTCTTTGTGCTGGTGGGCAGCTTTATTTTGATTATGATTTCCTATATCTTCATTGTGTCCATCGTTATAAAGATGCCTTCTGCAAAGGGGAGGTATAAGGCCTTCTCAACTTGCTCTTCTCACCTTTCTGTCGTGTCCATCCACTATGGATTTGCTTCCTTTGTCTATTTGAAGCCCAAGAAGAGTGGATCATTCCGTGAAGATATGCTGATGGCTGTGACATACACAGTGCTGACACCTCTGCTGAACCCCATTGTCTACAGTCTAAGAAACAAAGAAATGCAGATTGCCCTAAGAAAAGTACTAGGCAGTGCAAGTAGGTTTATTCCTTATGTACAAAGAGGCAATAAATAGGTAGCAAATATAGAGAATTCTGAATATTTAAAAAATGTGCAGATTTGTGATGAATAAAAGCAGAACATGTAGAGTACTTCAGTGGATATTATCACTGTGTGTGCAAAGCAATTAAAGTATTAATTGCATGATGTGAAATTACTTCAGTGTTTTCATACTACAAAACCAAATACAGTTTTAAAGGACTTTTAAATGTTATATTTTTGCTACAAAGTACAGTTTTATGTTATAAAACATATGTTTATATATGTGTGTATATGTATATATGCAATACATATGTATTTGTATGTAGTAAGCATATCAAAACATGTTTTCCAATAGCATTTTCATGATAGTGTTTTCTGTGGGGAAGGAAAAAAAATTACTAAGAAGGAGACAGAAAAAGATAAAGAAAGATAACTGCTTTCCTTAATGAAAAAAAATATATGTATATAGAGAGAAAGTTCAAACACAGAAAGTTAGAAGTGAGAATAAGGAATTGATTATAATATTGAAAAAATTTAAACATATGTTATAGGACTTCAGCATATCCTGCTGAGGAACATGTTTAAAACTTCAGATGGATGTGACCTTATTTTGAAATAAGGTGTTTGCAGATGTGATCAAGTTAAAAATTGGTCATAATAGATTAGGGTGTGTCCTGATCCAATGACTATACTCTTTAGAAGAGGGAAATCTGGTCTTAAAATACACAGAGTTTTATTTTATTTTATGACAGATGCAGATATTTGAATGGTGTATCTATAAGACTAGAAACACCAAAGATTACTGTCATATAAGCACTGGACATCTAACCATAGGTTAGCAGTTCAAACCCACCAGCTGCTTCACAGGAGATGAGACTTTCTGCTCCTGAAAAGTCTTATACCCTAGGACACCCTATACAGGGTTGCTATGAGTTGGAACCAACTTTATGACACTTTACAGCAACAACAACAACCATTAGAAGAGACAAGAAAAAAATTTTTCCTTAGGGTCTTCACAGAGAGCATTACCCAACTGATACCTTGATTTTAAACTCCTAACCTCTAAAATAATGAGAAATAAATATCTGCTATTCTAAGTATTCCAGTTTTATAGTATTCTATTATTCGCTATAAAAGAATACAAATTTTGGTACCAGGTAGTGGGGTACCATTGTAATAAATAGCTAAGCATCTAGAAGGAGTTTTGTGTTTGAGTAATGGGTGGTAGTGGTGATGGTTGTGTGTTATCAAGTCAGTGCCAACTCATAGCAACACTGTGTATGGTTTCCTAAGCTATACATCTTTATAAGAGCAGAAAGCCTCATCTTTCTCCAATGGAGTGGCTAGTAGATGCGAACTGCTGACCTTGCAGTTAGCAGCCCAACTCTTAATCTAATATACTAACAGGGTGCCATGCCAGACTAATGGGCAGAAGTTGGGAAAAAAAAGTTTAAGCACTTAAAAGAAAAGGCCTAGACTGACTTGAAGAGTCTAATAGAAATATGAACTTAAACGAAATTCTGATGAGGGCTCAGATTGAAGAGAGAAGAATTATAAAGAATGCTTCTATTAGAAAATAAACATGTCATCATTAGCAGAATATTGGTGGAAATATGAATGTTAAAATTCTTTGGTGTTCTCACAGATGGAAATAGGCATATGTTATTTAAAACTAGAGGAAAGATGATCCCTATTATTAATTGGAAGAAAGCTTGGCTGAATGATATTCTGCTGTTGGATGAAATGTAAAATTTGTAATTGATGAACTGACCTGTTTAGCTGAGATGATTTCCCAGCAAAGTGTGAAAGTTTAGTTTCTCCTTACGGTTGTGTTAAGTGCTGTCAAGTCAGTTCCAACTCATAGCAACCCTGTATAGGATTTCTGAGGAGTTTGAACCACCAACCTAGTGGTTCAATTTGATCTTTCAGTCCAGTGCTTATCCTACAGGACCACAGTAGGACTCCTTACTGCTTATAGTATAATACAAGAACAAAAAGAGAAATCAAAGAAGGTAGTATTAAGAATAATGGAACAAAAATGTGATAATCTGGAAAATTCTCAGTTTATTCACCTTACAAAAAATATGAGGAAATATGATCTGGAGAAACATCAAGAATGTGACTAAATAGACTTTTGCTGAAGAGATTAAGCATGTGATGCAGGAATTCAGTCAATCATATCATCAGAAACATTTTCAGCTTTCACCGAAGGGGACAGTTGTTGTTCATAAATGCCGTTGAATTGGTTCTGATTCATAGCTATCTTAGAGTGTCACACCAGGGAAGGGGACAGAGATATAGATAAATGAAGGAAGACTTTCAGATTTCTGGGATTCTACAGGCAGAAATTGAGTCCATAAAGCTATTAAGAATGGAACAGATTTTATCCTTTATGAAAAGGGAAGAATGGCATCAAGGGTGGCTTAGATGTCAACAGGACCACCACTGTCACAATAGGGGTATGGCTACAAAATGGGGCCACTGCCTCCTCAGTATTAAAGAGAGGATGGCACCACTACCACAAGTAGAGAGGTTGGAACCACTACCACTGAGGGTCAAGAAGGGAGTACTGCTGTGAAAGGTCAGAGTCAGGTGCCAATGGCTCTTCCCTAGGCCCAGATGACAAAACATGGAGGCACATATGACTATTCTGAAACCTTGAAATCTAATGGAATTTTCCTTGCTAGGGTATAGACTTATTTGGGATCTATGACACTTTTTTCCCACACACCTTGCTCTTTTGAAATAAAGTATGTAACCTATACCTATCCCAAGTTGCCCTGGTAGCATAGTGGATTATGAGCTGGGCTGCTAATTGCAAGGTCAGCAAATGGAATCTACCAGTCACTTCATGGGAGAAAGATAAGAATTTTTTTCTCCCTAAGGTTTACAGCCTCAGAAACCCTATACAGGGTCACTCTGAGTCACAAACAACTTGGAGGCACACAACCACCAACACCACCATGCCTGTCCCATGATATATTTTGGAAGATAACCATTTTTCTAGGTTTACTAGATTCACAGATTAAGAATTTATCCCCAAGATGAATAATATTAACAATTTCACTCATACATGATTTAGAGGACTTAGAAGATGAGATTTGGAACTTTTAGAGTTGATTACATTTAGATGAGATATATTATACTATATATATACATATTATATATATATATATTATACTATATATAAATATTATATATATATATATTAGAGTTGATTCTAGAATGGTTTAATATTTTGTGGGATACTGGGAAGGGATCAATATATTTTGCACATAACAAAGATGTACATTTTGGTGGACCAGAGGAAAGCCTATCATAGGTTGAACTGTGATCCCTAAAAAGGAATGTTATAGGCTTAATTTCTTAGAATTTGTGAATGTTAGCTTTTAACAAAATATTGTATTTGCAGATATAATTAAGTTAAGATAAAGTCATACTAGATTAGGGTAGGTCCTAATACATTAACTGTTGTTCTTAAAACAAGAGGGAAATTTAGACACAGAGACACAAAGGAAGAATAATATGTAAAGACAGGCCACAGATTGTCGTGATGCATTTATAAGATAGGACATACAAAGAAATGCTACAACCAGCAGAAATTGAAAGAGGCAAGAAAGGATACTTTCATAGAAATGAAATTATTTCATAGAAATCTTGACTCTATTACTGCCTTGACATTGGGCTTCTAACTTTTCTATGTGGTGCATGCAGCTAAGGGGTCATTTAATAGCTGAGAGACTGGTAGTTCCACCTAACCCAGAGTGCCTTGAAAGACACATCTGGCAACCCATTCACTAAAGGTCACAGTGTTGAAAACTTTCCTCTGCGCATCTCAGGTTACCATGAAATTGCACTGACTTGATGGCAACAACAAGCCTCCAGAATTTTAGAGAAAAAATTAATTTTTTCTAAGCCACCAGCTGTGGTTACTTTGTTATGGCATCCAATATAAAGTGACATTAACATAACATAAAGTCAACCATTATCCATTTTAAAGTGTACAATTTGATATAATTTAACTCATTCACAATACTGTGCAGCCATCACCTCTACCTACTTACATTTCCAACATGCTAAAAAAGGAAACTCCATACCTATTAAGCAGAGTCCTAGTGTGGCACTCTGAGTTAATGCCCTGGACTATAGTGTCGCTTTGAACTGAAGGTCAAATTAAAAATCCTATGGAGGGCTAGGGTGAAGGTGCAGTGAAGTTTGCTGTCAGCAATACCACAGAATACCAGGCAAAGCAGATCCAGGGCAGAGCTCTAAAACTCAGAACCACAGAGATAGGAATATTTTGAAGATTTGAAGGCTTATAGATTATGGAACTTGAAGCTGAAGTAAAAAATTGTGTACTTTTGAATCTGCTGGGCTGGGCTCAGAGGCCCGGAGCCGACATCTTGGGCGAGACCAAATGGCAAGACCAAATGGGGGAGCAGAAACACCACAGAAAAACGCTGCAGGAACCTTGGAGCAAAGGTGGACAATACACTTTGTCAGCTTTGCTTTGTTCTGATTTACTTTTCTTTTTTTTTGGTATCTGGTCATTGGTGTGCCCACTTTTTGCCCACCTTCGTCCTGGTGACTACAGGGGGAGCCTAAGCGAGTGGACACCCCCACCCTCACCACTGATGGGTTCTTCTGCCACACATACGCACAGATACTCAGCTTTGTTTTTTAATACAGGAAAGGGCAGGATAGGGCTGTAGAGAGGGAAAGAGAGTTTAAAAACAAAACAAGCCAAAAATTAAATTAAAGCCTGAGGTATAGCATAACAACCAACACTGGCATCTTGACATCTCTCAGGCAGCTTTGAAAGCAAGAAGCTGAAGAGAGGACATTAAAGTCATACTCATATTAAGCTACAGATTTTTTTTTTTCCTTCTCTCCCTCCTCTCCCTTTTCTGTGATTATAGACTGAAGTATTCAGTCTAGTTTTTGTTGTTGCTGTTTTTTTGTTTGTTTGTTTGTTTATCCCCCCCCCCGCCCCTGCTGGTGCTGTTTTGTTGTTATATGCTCCCCCTTCTACCT